AGTTCTTAAATGTGGGAAAGACTTTTGATTTCTTTCAAAGAAAGTAAATCCATGTGTATCGGGTACAATCATCAATAAACAACACAAAGTATTTATAACCCAAGCATGAAATAACTGGAGACGATCAAACGTCATTGTGAATAAGGTAAAAAGGTGTAGAAGCATGTTCAATAGAAGATGGAAAAGGCAAAACATGACTTTTACTATAGTAGCAAGTTAAACAAGATTTATCAACATTCTTAAATGAAGTAACAATGATAGGTGAACAACCAGAATAAAATAAATAGTCCAAGTTTTTAGCATGAGTGTGGCCCAAACGTCTATGCCATAAATGCTACACATTATTACAAGAGGTAGAAGAAAAACTAGAAGTAGTAGACAACAAACAAGAGTCTGATGAAGTTTGCTTATTCTCAAATTCTAGGGCAAACAGTCTCCCAAGCCCATGCCCCTTCCCCTTCAGCTCTCCAGTGTGTTAGTCTTGGATAAAACAACCGTGACAAGTAAACAAAACATTATTACCATCATCAACAAGTTGTTCAATAGAAATAAGACTAGTAGTCAACTTAGGCACAAAAAAGGTTTTGGGAAGATGTAAGGGTGTAAACTTAGAAGTGGATAGAAATAAATCATCACACCTATATACAAGAAGAGAATCACCATTAGCAGTAATAGTGTGGTTAACAGAGGTGTAGGGTTTAAAAGACTAACCAAAGGAAGCCCTAGCCATGTGGTTTGAGGCCCCAGAGTCAATAATCCACATGTGTGAAGGAGAAGAACACAAATAATTAGACTTACCAGCTAGTCCAATAGCTGAAAATGCAGAGGAAATAGCCAAGGGCATAAGCTCACAAATCTTATCTTCAGTCAGATTTCCCTGTGAATCAAGTTTGTGAGCTGATGGGGAGGAAGCAATATCAGTTGGAGTCGGTTCAGTTGAGGCTTGATAAGCCTTATGTTAGCGTTTCTTGGGGGGCCTGGTTGGGCATTCCACTATAATGTGTCCTTGCTATTTGCAATAGGTGCAGAAAATTTTCTTGTTGCAGTGGAATGCCATGTGTCCAAATTCCTTGCATTCATAGTATTGCATCTTCGAGAAGTTCTTCCCCTTCTGTTTGGTAGCCAAGAAGATCTTATCTATTCCATGTTCCTTCTTCTGATCAAGTGCAGACTGAGTGGGAGCCAGTTCATATTCAGTCCAGAGGTTCACAAACCCAACATAATATATTCTTGAATCCGTTTCTCTCCTTGAACATAAGAAAATGTATCAACTTCAAGCTGATATTGCCTGGACATGTTTGATTGCTGATATACCTTTTCAAGGTATTCAAACATGTCATGGGCAGATTTGAGTCCCCTCATTGGAATACTGACATCCATTGTGACAGAACCAATAACCCATGAAACAACCTGTGCATTCTCAGTTTTCCACTGTTCCAGTCCTTTGACATCATCAACATTGGGTATGGGTGTGGAACCATCAATGTTACTCCACATACCCTTCCCTTCAATAAGAAATTCAAAATACAAGAGAGTCAAAATATAAGAGAAGCCTCTTACAGTCAAAAGAGAGGGTCCAAAGTACAGCAATGGTTGAAACCTGAGAACACAGTCCAAAAATGGGAAGACTGAGAAACTTTCGGAGTATGATGAAAAGGGCCAGGCGACACTTCCTTTCATGTTTTACCACAAACAGATGTCTTTCGAGAGAGATCCAATGAGATCTTTCTTGCTGATTGTGCAGAACACATAAAACTGGTTCCTGGATTGATCAAAACAGTCCAGAACCAATCGAAGAATAGAAGAACCCTCAAACAGTTTGAAAGAAAGAGAAATGAACCAGAGAACAACCCGCTCTGATACCATGTTAATCTGTGAGAAAGAGAAGAGACAAGAGGGAAGCAAAGAGTTCAGATCTGTTAGGGTTGATCAGCATGATCCAACCAACCCAAAAAGAAAGAATTTATATTAAGAATGTGAATGGACAAGATTGTCCTTACAAAAGAAATGAAAGAAAAGAGCTGTACACTAATGTACACGCCTACTAGATTACAAGAAAGAAAAGGTAAAACTACATAACTACCCTCCATCTTCTCTACAGTGCCAAGCACCTTGCATTTCGTTTTAAGCTAGCCTTGCTACCTAATCCATCAAACCCCTTTTCTTCGATTACATGTATCAATCAGCTTCCTATAGGTGAGCCCCCAATGAATGGCTATTAGGGGTGAGCATAGACATACTGGGTTGAGTTTTAAGGTTGGCCCATGCTGCTGAGCCCAAGCTCAGTCCAACTTAGGATACTGGGCCTTAGACCGAGATTGGACTTGCCCAAAACTTTGAACAAAACTACAAAATTGACAGGGTCCAAAGCACTTACATCTCTAGTTTAGTGAGCAAAATGTTAGCTTTGTAGTTATTTTGTTGGATTAAAAAATGAGCCAACTGATAAGATTAATTTAATTGTTAATGTGAACTATACATGAAAAGAATAAATTATGTAGTATTATAATATTATTTTGTTGGGAATGTCTATAGTGCCAAAAAGACATGATACTGAAAGAGCTTTGACCAATCACCCCTTCCCCCTAGTGGATTTTGATAAATACCACCCAACTGATTACCACCTTTATTATACCAATTGATTGATACAGGAAATAAAGGGGGTTTAGGAATTTGGGCATTTTCAGGGGGTAGGCAGGCCTAAGACCGACCCCCTGGCCAATTTTGAAAAAAAAAAAATAAATAAATAAAGGGTGTAGCCAAATCACCCAATTCCAAGAACAAGAACCAAGTATTATGTATCAACATTTTTTTCCTAATAGATGCTCTCTCTGTAAAGATGATGGGGAATCCGGTTACCACCTTTTGGTCTCTTGTAAGTTTACTAAAACTGTTTGGGAGTGGGTACTTTCTCGCTTTGGGTGTACTTGGAACCCTCCTGAGAGTGTCCAAGGTTTGTCCTCCCCTTCTTTTTTCAGATGGCCTAAGAAGCGAGGGAAGATGATGTGGAGGAGTATTAGCGCAGCCGTGTTGGTCACTATGGGAGGAAAGAAACTCTGGAATATTTTCAGAAAAGGAAAGATCCCTGGAAGAACTATTAGACCTAATACTTTTAAGGGCTGCCCACTGGCTAAAAACTACGGAACTATTCTCAGACTTTCCTATTGCTGACCTGTTAAGAAACTGGAAAGAGATAGCAACCTCTACTCTGTGTAAGAGGACTCTTAGTCCCTTGTGGTCCGGATTTATAAAAGTGAACTTTGATGGCAGTAGCATAAGGAATCCAGGGTCCTCTGGGACTGGGGGAGTTTTCAGGAATGAGGAAGGGATTGTTGTTGCTCTGTTCTCAGGCCCTATTGGAGAAGGAGACTCTATTAGGGCTGAGATCCTTGCAGCTGTGGAAGGGGTTCAAAGAGCAAGGGAACTAAATATCAGTCAGCTGATTTTGGAAGGTGATTCAAAGGTGGTGATTAGCTGGTTGAAGAAAGAGGACAGTGGCTTGTGGAGTTACAATAATGAAAAGAAAAAATTCTTGTGGCTATGTAGAGGCATTGAGATACAATACAGCTGGGTAAAAAGGACTGTTAATTCTTTTGCAGATGGGTTGGCCAAGCAAGGGGTGAATAGGGAGGCTATTTTTTGGGCTATTTTTTAATCTTCTTTCATTGTAATTTTCTGATGGGGAGATAAGACTCTTTATCTCCCCCTTTTTTTGTACCTAAAGCTTCATAATTCTTAATAAAGTTTTTGTTATTGATCAAAACAAAAAATGTATCTGCATTTTTTGATGATGATCATTGTCCACATCAGCTCTTTGTCATGCTATCTGGGTGGGGTACAAAAATTTTGTTCTATAATTCCATTATTATAAGGTCATATATTCTTTGTAATTTTGCTACCTCTTTGTAGGCATTGAACACAACTCAATTAAGGTGTATTTCCTCTTTCTAAAGCATTTTAACTGCAGTAGTTATGCTTCTGTTGAACTTGTTGCAGGATAAAATCATTTATTGGAATAAATTTTTTTCTTGGGGATATCTAACATAGTGATAAGCATAAAAAGAAGAACAAGATCACTATCTTGTTCTTGTTAATAGAGGCATAGAGCTATTGAATCCAAAGAAGGCCTCTTGAATCTGCAAGAGAATCATATAAAACTCTTTATTATGTTCCCAAATGAATTATTTACAAGAAAATAGAACCCTACCTTAAGATCAAGAAGTCCCAAATGAAAATAAAATTTCGAAAGCCCAAATCCCATCATAAGCTGACACACTGTTAAAAGAGTCATATCTTGCTAAAAACAGACCTGCTTTACAATATCTTAGTCCTATCAGATAACTAACTTGAAAAGCTACCTAGTGAAACCAAACTGATGCAAAACAGATGAGTTTTGACCCCTCAAAATCAGGTTGAAGGAAAAAGTGACGAACATAAGGCACCCAAAATGCTAAAAAGTAATAGGATAAGAATGAAGTGGACACTTGGTCCAATGCTTAGATAGGAGGTTGTAATATTCCCTGGAAAGAGCAATAATATGATCATCTATTAATGCAGAGAATCTGAAAGGCTCTTGTGGTACCTTTGCACTCTTCTTTTCATTTCTCTACAAATCCTGAAAATATTAGTTGATTATTACACGGGGGTTCTCTGATAGAATTCATGATTGACCTCCAAACCAATACAAATGAAGTCCTTTTTTTCTACTAATGTATGAAGAGTGTATGTTGATGTTCGTTATTATCTTATTGTTTTCTTATGTAGTATTTTATTTTCATCCTGGTGAAACAGTAGTATTATATATATATATATATAATACTTGAAAGTTTGATTCTACAATCAAAGGTTTTGTATGCATTGGTTACGGTGGGTGAAGGAAAACTAAATAACAAACCTAAAAAGGAAAGCATAAATAATGGATGAGTAAGAGACCTTTCTGCTTCATCATCGTCATCATTTTTAATTTTGGCTTATGATGTGGAGATCATGCATATGTGCAGGTGGCATACTTGACAGAGTGGACAGCTACATCTTCACTGGTGCACTTGCATACTCCTCTGTCAAAACGTTACGGCAAGCCAACGTTTCTGGTTCTCAATTGGGAAACTGTATCGCAATTGAGGTAAAAAAATGCAGCAAGTTTCAGAATGTGTGCTAGTGGGCGAGGAGAGCATCAACAAGTGTACGTACATCCTCTGAGAAGGAAGCTGAGAACCAGCTGAAGTGGTTCTCTGTATAACCCTGTTGAAGAAAATACTTGGTTTATGTGTTTACTCATTTTTCATTAGTTCGATGATACTTGGATTCGATGTTCCTCTCAATGTGAACCAGAACGAGGTCAAGAACTTGAGGCCTGTATTGGGTTTCTACAATGGGTCCACTTCATAATGTGAAATTTCATATGGTTGCTTGCAGGGTCTATTGCTGGATCTACTATTGGCGAAGTTGGTGTAAACATGCAAATTGGTTATTTTTTGCTTGTGTGGTTTGCCTTTTCAAGAAGGTGGTTTGACAAAGCAAGCTTTTTCAAGGATATTCGAATTCTAACCAAGGATCAAAATTTAATCACGTATCGACCAATACATATAGTATCAGCCCTTCCGATACGCCCTGGCCTATAGGGGGTGTTTCAGGTCGACAAGTGGTTCAGAGGGTAGATCAGCCTTAAACCGGCCCCTCTGAACCAATTTCGGGCATATTGATATTTTGAACCTTGATTTTAACTAAAGCCTCAGTTTAGAAAGAGTACAAATACAAATTTGTAGAGTGCAAAATCTTATATTTTGTATATATTTGTACAATACATATTTGTATTTATACTCTTTCTAAAATTTGGAAATAATACAAATACAAATATATACAGTATAGTGCAAAACTTTACATTTTATATTATTTTATATGTATTTATACTGTATGTATTTATATTTATACTCCTTTCAAACAGAGCCTTGATGAACTTTCTGACTCGACAGATTGAATTGGATTTTGAGTATGAACTATAAAGTGTTTTTGGATCTTGTGTAAAATAAACCTTTTTATTTGGACAACTATCTTCTAAATGAACTATATATACTGTTTTTACTTTCTTTTTTATCTTTTGCTTGAATATGTGCATGGTACATGCCTTACACTCTTGTTATATAATGCCAATAATTGTGTAGATTACCGTAGTGCCTGTACAAGTTAAATCAAAGTACTTGGTGTCATAGCATATAAGCAAGCTTCAAAATGGTAGCATATTCAACACACAAAAATTGCATATTTAATAGTTTCATTTTGTTGAAATTCTTTTTTATTTATTTGATACGGTTATATGTCAGGGCATACATCACATCATCTATTAACATCCAAAACAGGTGAAATCACCTAATTATTTGTATTTATCAGTCACCCTGAAAATCGACGTGTATTGTATGATATGCATGCATAGATATTGATACTCTGAACTTTATGAGATTAATACGTATATAAAGTAATTATTCAAATATTTTAAACTTTAAATCCATGAATTAAAACATTTAAAGAAATATAGTAAAGAATTAAAATTCAATTTTTTTAGGGTAAATTACAAAGACCCCCTATACTATGGGGTCTGTGGCAAAGACCCCCTATATTTTGTTTTGCAACAAAGACCTCATTTTATTAGTTTTTCGTTAATATTTTTTAATCCTCATACTACCCCTATAAGAAAAACATTGTTCATCTTCCCCGACTTTACGCTACAGGAACAGCAGCAGCAATAATCCCTTCTACCTCAGATTTCTTCACATTCCTCTCTATCTCCCTCTCTCTCTCCCCCTGATTTCTCTTCTTCCCCTTCCCCTTTCTCTCTTCCCCTTTCGTCAGACTCTCCTTGGTCTTCTCTCTCCACCACCTGAGCTAAGCTGTGGTTCTACGATTCTGCCATGAGAATAGTCAGAAAAGGAAGCTGCTCTTTAATTTTCTTTGTTTTTGGGTTTTCTTGTTAATGTTTTGGATCATGTGGGTTCCGAAACTGGCAACACGACAGCTTTCGGTTAATGGGTTCTATCAAGTTTCAATTGAATTAATTCTGTTCTTTCCAAATTTTACTAATTATTTTGCAGGAATATGCATAAAGTGGGTTAATTTCTTTTTGTGTTCCTCTATTTTTCTATTTTTAACCATGCCTGCTTGTGATTTGTGATCTTGGTCCTGTGTTTACCACAACTTAGATGGATTTGATACTCCAGAACTGGGTTCCCTTTCCTAGATAACCAGAGCGTTGTATAATGTTTTTGTTGGGTGATTCCGCAATTGGGACTGATTTGGATTTGTCAAAGAGAAAGAATAAACCAACCATGGAATGATGGAATCTGAAAGCTTTTTTTTTTTTTTCTTAGCGTTTACTGATTGAAATTTGGTTTTGACAGTTCTCGTCCACAATTGAGACAGGAAGTGGACGATTGTGAGGTGGTCATTAAGGAGATTGAAGATCGGGTGGTGGGGAGAGGTTTGAATTTGATTATAAGGGGATGGGCCTCACAAGTCCCAATACCGAACCATAGAACTGTCACTGTTGTTCGGCCTATTCCTGTATCATGAGGTCGGGGGAGATGAACAGTGTTTTTCTTATAAGGGTAATGTAAGGATTAAAAAATATTGTAACGACAAATTTCAACGGAAAATTAATGGAAGGGAGTCTTTCTCTCGCGGTCATAGTACAAAGGAGTCTTTGTCGCAAAACAAAGTACAGAAGGGTCTTTGTCACAGACCCCATAGTACAGGAGGGTCTTTGTAATTTACCTTTTTTATTTTATCTTTTTAGTTTTCACTCTTTTATCTTCTTAATGGCATGTGGGTACGAGGGATGAGCTATTTTGTTGCCATAAGAGTGAAACGTTGGCAAATCCCTAGTGAAAGTGTAAAACATTGTTTATTTTCAGTAATCAGAAGAGTCAAAACATGGGTATGGGGAGTAAGGTTTAGCTGAATGTTTTAGCTATTCAGAGGGCTGTGAAACCATTCCACGCCGATAATAAAATACATGGGGCCCATACTTTTTACAGTTGGGTTCATGAATTTGTTATTGTTTAGACAAAGTGTTTCAGTTAATCCAAAATGAAAAACAAGAAAAAGATATGCACCATTTTTTTAGTAATCAGTGTTGTGTTGTCAGACTGGGATGATTGGATTATCAGAAAATGGTTTTTAGGCTTTCTGTTGATCTGGTCAACTTTTTTCGAATACGTGTTTCAAGACCTATTACTACCTAGATGTCAGTGGATCGGGCTAAACGGAAAATCTGCCATCACCTGATTTAGGTTTGGGTCAGGTTTGTTCATGTATAGGGTTGGGTTAGGGTTTGATTCTTCAACCTGGTTTAGGTTTGGGTTTGGCTGACCGACCCTGTGGGTCATGATACCCCATAGGGTTTTCTGTAATTTGTTATAACATCTTGCTTTAGAACCTTAGGCTGTGCTTGGTTTGAAGGAAAATCTACCTTTTTCTTCTTTTTCTTACCTTTTCCTTCAAATACAGCTTTAAGGTTTAGGATAATCCTTTAGGTTATGTTTGGTTTGAAGGAAAAGATAGAGAAAGAAAGGGAAAGATAGGAAAACTCATATAAGGTTTGTAAAAGTTTTCCTACCTTTTCTTTTCTTTCCTTACCTTTTCCTTCAAACCAAACACAGCCTTAATGTTTATTTTAATTTTTCTTTGTTCATTATGGAGAAAGTGACACATTAGAAAGCCAAATTCAGTTTAAATTTATAGCATGAAAAAATCTATAATGCCAGAAAGACTTTGATCAATCAAAACTCTTGTGAATTTTGATGAAAACCCATCTGATCGGTTATCACTTTTATGATGCCGATTGATTGGTTTTAAGTTTTTCCAATATCCTAGTGAACCCTAATGACTTTTAGGTTTCTAAAATGCATGTGCTATAAAAATATATAATTTAAAGGCTTCCGGTTGGGGTTGGGCTGGGTTGAACCCTATAGGGTCAGGTAGAGCCAGGCTCAAATGGAAACGTTGGAGGGTTAGGTTAGGGTTGAGGCAAACGTTACCAAACCCAATCCATTGACATCCCTACAACTTACATATTTGTTAATTTAAGCTTATTTTGACATGAAATGGTTTTAAAGTACAAATTAAAATAATTTATTATTTTGATTTTTTACACTAATCAAATGATTGAACCAAACGGGCAGACAGTTTGACTCATAACCTTATCGACGAAATGGTTGTGTCCGGTCCGAGTTTAATACTGTGATAGGGGTATGTCGAAAATCAAAATCACTCCAAATATTAAAATCTTGGGCTGAAAGATAACATGGGAAGTCAGTGTAGTCAATTAAACTTTACCGACTGGTTGGTGGCCCATTTGGTAGGAGCATGGCTTCACTGTTACAAAGGACTCCGGATCACCCCACAAGAACTCTGCCCACATCTACTTACAACACACTACCCCCGTAAATTGGGAATATCTCTTCCTATATAATACCATTTAGGAGGATGAGATGTTCTCCATGTGTAGCTGCGATGTTATGTGGGTAGATGTGGGCAGAGTTTGTGTGGGCAGGAGATCCAGACTCGTTACAAGGACCTAGGATCTAATCCCTTTGCCACCAGGGTCGAGTGTTTTATGGATGGGGATGGGTTACCCAACCCCATGAAAGAGAAAATCTATGGGCAGGAGATCCAGACTCGTTACAAAGACCTAGGATCTAATCCCTTTGTCACCAGGGTCGAGTGTTTTATGGATGGGGATGGGTTACCCAACCCCATGAAAGAGAAAATCTATGATACCGGAAAGACATGGTAATGGAAGAGCTTTGGCCAATCAGAGCACCCCATGAAGTTTGATGTATACCACTTGATCAGTTGCCTCTTTTATGATATTGGTTGATTGGCTTTAAGTTTTCCCGGTATCATGTCTTTCCGATATCATATATAGTTGAACCCAAAAAGGGAAATCTATAAAAAAATCATGTTCTGTCCAAATTTTAAGTTGGACTTTCCTATCAATTATAATTTGCAGAAACTAAATAATTAGATGAAAATATATTCTTTAAGGCTGTGTTGCCTTTTCTTTCAAACCAAACACACCCTAAAATTTGAATCTTTGTTGATAGTATTAGGCCCTGTTTGCCAAATCCTTTTGAAAGATCTATTGGGCTTTTAGAAGCTCAGTAGACCAAAAACGGTCTTTTTCTGCTTGGCTAGTAAAAGCCCGCTAGACTAGAAGACAAAACTCCAAAAAGACCATAAAAGCCCGAAGTGGTCTAGATTTTATAAACTACAAGTGAAGTTTATAGTCTTTTCGGGCTTCCCAGCTTCCTGATGTGTTTGGCAAAAATTCCAAAAGGGTCGATTGAAGCTCCTGATACGTCTGCTCCAATGACTAAGCATGGACACAAGTACATCCTTCTCATTTTCTTCTTCTTCTTCTTCTACTACTACTACTAC